TGTCAGAGAGATCCATACACTAACACACAAGTTATGTCTGGAAGTTACAAAAATGCTTATTTTTGGCCCCTAATTCCTTTACTGTTGGTACCATAACCCCCAAAATCAATCCCAACCTTCCTTTTGTGATCTAAATACATGGTTAGATTCAGCATATCAAAGAACCCCATATATTCAATTTTTGTTGAAATCAAACAAAGTTTAATTTTGGACCCCGATTTGGACCAACTTGAAAAAATGGGCCCATAATCAAAAATCTAAATACATGTTTAGATTCAGCATATCAAAGAACCCTAAGAATTCAATTTTTGTTAAAATCAAACTAACTTTAATTTTTGACCCTTTGGACCTTAATGTAGACCAATTTGAAAACGGAACCAAAAATTAAGAATCTAAATACACGGTTAGATTCGGCATATCAAAGAACCCCAATAATTCAATTTTTGATGAAATCAAACAAAGTTTAATTTTGGACCCTTTGGACCTCAATGTGGACCAATTTAAAAACGGGGCCCAAAATCCAAAAACTAAATACAGGGTTAGATTCAGCATATTAAAGAACCCCAAGAATTCAAGAATAAAACCCCATTGAAATTGGTCAAGAAATAAGCAATTTATACGAAGTATCTTCTTTTGCACAATACTGTGCAATTAAATATTTCTTGCTATTGCGCAATACTGTACAATTGACAATTTCTTGCTATTGCGCAATATTGTGCTATTGGATATTTCTTGCTATTGCACAATACTTATTATATAATAATTTACACATCCTGTTTGGTGTGTATCTCCTACCATATCATTATTATTTTCTTTTAAATATAAATCAGAAATAACCAACTTAAAATGGAAAATTTTAAAAGAAAAAAAAAAGGAAAAAAAGAAAAAAAAAGGAAAAAAAAAAAAATCCCCCCCAAATTTTTGGAACCCCCTTATGATTCATCACCCCCAAACTCAATCCCAACCTTTACTTTGTGGTATGGTACCTTGCAGTACAATTTCAGAGAGATTCATACACTTGAACACAAGTTATTGTCTGGAAACTAGAAAAATGTGTTTTTTGGCCTCTTTTTGGCCCCAAATTCCTAAAATATTGAGGCAGTTACCCCCATCATCAATCCCAGCCTTCCCTTTGTGGTATGGTACCTTACAGTACAATTTCAGAGAGATCCATACACTTACACACAAGTTATTGTCCTGAAACTAGAAAAATGCTTGTTTTTTGCCCCTTTTTGGTCCCTAATTCCTAAAATATTGAGGCAATTACCCCCATCATCAATCCCAGCCTTCCCTTTGTGGTATGGTACCTTGCAGTACAATTTCAGAGAGATCCATACACTTGAACACAAGTTATTGTCTGGAAACTAGAAAAATGCTTATTTTTGGCCCCTTTTTGGCCCCCAATTCCTAAATGTTTCGGCAATTACCCCCAAACTCAATTCCAGCTTTCCCTTTATGATATGGAACCTTGTAGTACAATTTCAGAAAGATCCATACACTTACACACAAGTTATTGTCATAAAACTAGAAAAATGCTTGTATTTTGCCCCTTTTTTGGCCCCTAATTCCTAAAATTTTGAGGCTATTACCCCCAAAATCAATCCCAGCATTCCTTTTGTGATATGGAACCTTGTGGTACAATGTCAGAGAGATCCATACACTAACACACAAGTTATGTCTGGAAGTTACAAAAATGCTTATTTTTGGCCCCTAATTCCTTTACTGTTGGTACCATAACCCCCAAAATCAATCCCAACCTTCCTTTTGTGATCTAAATACATGGTTAGATTCAGCATATCAAAGAACCCCATATATTCAATTTTTGTTGAAATCAAACAAAGTTTAATTTTGGACCCAGATTTGGACCAACTTGAAAAAATGGGCCCATAATCAAAAATCTAAATACATGTTTAGATTCAGCATATCAAAGAACCCTAAGAATTCAATTTTTGTTAAAATCAAACTAACTTTAATTTTTGACCCTTTGGACCTTAATGTAGACCAATTTGAAAACGGAACCAAAAATTAAGAATCTAAATACACGGTTAGATTCGGCATATCAAAGAACCCCAATAATTCAATTTTTGATGAAATCAAACAAAGTTTAATTTTGGACCCTTTGGACCTCAATGTGGACCAATTTAAAAACGGGGCCCAAAATCCAAAAACTAAATACAGGGTTAGATTCAGCATATTAAAGAACCCCAAGAATTCAAGAATAAAACCCCATTGAAATTGGTCAAGAAATAAGCAATTTATACGAAGTATCTTCTTTTGCACAATACTGTGCAATTAAATATTTCTTGCTATTGCGCAATACTGTACAATTGACAATTTCTTGCTATTGCGCAATATTGTGCTATTGGATATTTCTTGCTATTGCACAATACTTATTATATAATAATTTACACATCCTGTTTGGTGTGTATCTCCTACCATATCATTATTATTTGCTTTTAAATATAAATCAGAAATAACCAACTTAAAATGGAAAATTTTAAAAGAAAAAAAAAAGGAAAAAAAGAAAAAAAAAGGAAAAAAAAAAAATCCCCCCCCAAATTTTTGGAACCCCCTTATGATTCATCACCCCCAAACTCAATCCCAACCTTTCCTTTGTGGTATGGTACCTTGCAGTACAATTTCAGAGAGATTCATACACTTGAACACAAGTTATTGTCTGGAAACTAGAAAAATGTGTTTTTTGGCCCCTTTTTGGCCCCAAATTCCTAAAATATTGAGGCAGTTACCCCCATCATCAATCCCAGCCTTCCCTTTGTGGTATGGTACCTTACAGTACAATTTCAGAGAGATCCATACACTTACACACAAGTTATTGTCCTGAAACTAGAAAAATGCTTGTTTTTTGCCCCTTTTTGGTCCCTAATTCCTAAAATATTGAGGCAATTACCCCCATCATCAATCCCAGCCTTCCCTTTGTGGTATGGTACCTTGCAGTACAATTTCAGAGAGATCCATACACTTGAACACAAGTTATTGTCTGGAAACTAGAAAAATGCTTATTTTTGGCCCCTTTTTGGCCCCAAATTCCTAAATGTTTCGGCAATTACCCCCAAACTCAATTCCAGCTTTCCCTTTATGATATGGAACCTTGTAGTACAATTTCAGAAAGATCCATACACTTACACACAAGTTATTGTCATAAAACTATAAAAATGCTTGTATTTTGCCCCTATTTTGGCCCCTAATTCCTAAAATTTTGAGGCTATTACCCCCAAAATCAATCCCAGCATTCCCTTTGTGATATGGAACCTTGTGGTACAATGTCAGAGAGATCCATACACTAACACACAAGTTATGTCTGGAAGTTACAAAAATGCTTATTTTTGGCCCCTTTTTGGCCCCTAATTCCTTTACTGTTGGTACCATAACCCCCAAAATCAATCCCAACCTTCCTTTTGTGGTATTGAACCTTGTGGTAAAATTTCATAGAGATCCATTCACTTAAACTAAAGTTAGAGTGCGAAAACCAATGTGTCTTCGGACGACGCAGGACGACGCCGGACGACGACGACGCCAACGTCATACCAATATACGACCACAAAAAATTTTTTGCGGTCGTATAAAAATATTTAGACAATACTTATTTTTATATAAAAGGAAAGGAAAAGTACACATTTCATTTTCTGTACATGTAATATTCATCTTTTCTGCATACACAAAGAGAAGCGAAAAGATACCAACTCGTAAGTCCAATACAAACTGACAATGCCAAGGCAAAAGTGCTTATCACATAATTATTTCACTATAGTCATGGTAGAAAGATAAATTAAATGAAAAACAAAATATTTCTAATATCAGTTTAACTAAACAAGAAATTTCAAAGATTTAAATCTAGTTTTGTTTATATGGTATTGATTTAAAATAACCTCTTTAAGTTTGCAGAAATAGTGTTACCATCCGTTTTGCAACAAAATAATACAGAGTTTTTCAACAATTCCTTCAGGAATTGAATAAAATATGCTCTTGAATGTAATGAATGTACAAAATTCAGTGGTTTTTGCTGGAATGTCACTAATTTATGATAATTTCAAGGCCTGGAAGCACTGAAATAAATCATTTTCCTGTTTTCAATTCTCATGGTAGTCCGAAATCCGTGTTTGTTGTTTATCATGTTTATTCTAATCTAAACAATGCTTCACAAAGAAGAATATTTCACAGAATAAGGCTTTTTTCTTAGTTTTCATGTACTGAAGGTTAAGAAACCAATACTGGTGGGGACCAATGTCACATGTTTTAGATCCATAGAAACTGCCATTGATTATAACTGTATAAAATATACCAATATACACAAGTTGGAAAAATAATACAGCTATGTTTGTTTCTTCAAAAAGATCTGTTGAATTATTATTTTAGGCAGTAATATGCTCTAACTATTTCTAAAAGCTCCTGCTTACATGTATGTAATCTAATACCATGTATCTTTATAATCATATTTTTTTTCATCATTTTTTTCTTTAACAACATGAATACTTCTTTTGCTTTTTATTCCTTATAAAAATGACTTTATCAATATATGTTTCTTGGATTTTGTACAATCAATCAATCAATCCAGTCTGCCATCCATCCATCAATCAAGCACAATGCCTTTATGTTTTATTTTTCAGCAAGAAATTTCCATCCAATCAACGTGTTTGTCAGTAGTATCCACATATTTGCTTTTCAAATTTTTGTATCATACATACATGTAGATATGTAATGCTGCTTGATATAGTTCCTATGATAGTCTTTTATACATTTTATATTTTAGGACAATCTATGTACAGCATGATTTGTATTATATACTTTTATAGTTAATATTGCTTTGAAAAGGTATTTATTAAACATGAAATCAAGCATTCCCCAAATATATTTTTTTTAATCCATCAAAATGTGTTTCCAAGTGTACATGGTGTATTCACAATTACATAACATCAGGTATTTTGAATATTATATACACACTTCATATTTGCAGTATAAATGTACATGTAACACATATTTACCTATCTGGAAAGCTACCTTTACGATGTTTGTGCAAGGCCTCATCTGTAAGTCTGTTATTTGGTGAGTTATCATGGGTATTGTACCGTTTGGAAAGAGTTGGAGGAGGTGAACAGTGGTCAAAGAATTCCTGAAATTGTACCAAATCAATACACTCAATATACATGTATTGTATATGACAAACTGACCATTACAAACGACTTTTTTCTGAATAAATGAAACAAAAATAACGGATAATCGTGCAACATAAAAATACAAGAATATTTGAAATGTTGCTGAAATAATAGACACAAAGTGAAAAATATCATTTACTATACGTATACAGTACATTTGTTGACAAAGTGATAGTTGAGAACAAACCTGACTGCTAGTTAGTAACAAACAACCCATAGAGATACCAAGGAGACAATAAAAGACATATTGAAAAGTACATCTATGCAAATTAGTCTCAGAGTCTTTATACTTTTGAAAATTTTCAGCCACATAACCAGTTTGGCCATAAATTGTTTCCGCCACAACACCTGTTTTGCCACACTATTTCATAATGTTCTTAACATAAACATATGCATTACATGTTTTGACAAGTTTGTTTTCAAAAGGGAAATTAATTAACAAAGTCATTTTGTCAAAAGGTGTGCAGCTGCTTTGATACACGAGGACACAAGACTTTCTTACATTACACTTCTAAGTTAAGACAATAATAACAATATCATCAAAGGATCAGAGGGATCATTATGATGAGGACTTTACAATCTCTTTTACTTAAAATTTAAATAATTATCATATTTCCTTCGGTATTTTAAAAAACTTTAATTTTTTTTAATATAAATAGTCCTCCTTTTATCAATACATGTACTAGTAAATTCTTGCGTTCTGGAATATTCTCTCAACTTACATTTTTTGTACATAAATTTATACAAATTCTCAACAGTTGCTTAACAATGAATATAATTTTATGATCAAAAATGTATTTTCCATTTGTTTCTTTGTATATATGTTTGTAGGAATAATTATTTTCTGCTCCTTTCTTACAAAAAAAAACATGACCGAACAACTTTACAAAGTATGGTCGAACTGGCAGTATACCCAAATTGAAACAATAATGGCCGAACTGGCATCAAAAATAGGGGGCCACATTGACCAACAGTAGATGTATGTGCAAGGATGAAAATCTACTTTCTAATGAAACAAAATTTCCAAAGCCCAGAGTAAGGATCCCAGAATGGACCTCCAGCACTGTAGATATCGGTCTAATTTGTCTACCATTACTTTAAGGTACTGGTTACGATTACCCACAAAAAGTAACAATAAGAAATAATTATTGTTACTTCTGAGACTAACTGAAAATGTGTTTTTTTCCAGACAGGGACCTGACTTCATTACTCCATTTGTACTCTTTGGGGGTAATACACCTCATCACTATTTGTCTGCCATTACTGGACATCACAAAGGTTCCCGTAAAATTTTGACGTCAAAATAGAAAATATCTGAAACCACAATGGAAAAGTGATTGTTGTATGAGGTCAATAGTTCAAGAAGCGCATATTTCTAAATAGTGATAAGGAGGTCGGTAAAAGTGGTAACCCGAACCCGAACCCGAACCGGAATTTGCCGGAAATTTGCCGAACCGGAAATCTTTAAATATGATTTGTTATCATTCTTTAGAGATTTTTGTTACAAAAATTAATGGATATGGTGTAAAATATAAAGTTTTATGTTATGTATGAGTACGCTTTTGTTCTTAACTGGCAAAAGACTGAAAAAAAAGTTTTCTATGTTTCCGCCTTGGTAAAAGTGGTAACCCAAACTCGGGAACCTATTTTTCTTTATTTCTCTGTATTATCTGATTTCTTGAGTGAACACTCTGACTTCGTGTGATGAATATCATCTTTCATTTCATAAACACAAAGATTTTTTTCAAACTGTATAAAACACAACCATTTATTTCATTTCTAAGTGAATAAGTAGGAAACCGAACCCGAAAGGGAGACAACTCGTTTTGAAATACAAATGTATTACAACTTTTTACCATGCATTCAAAAAATATTTTAATGGTTTATTTCATACATGTACATAATGAATAATCATTTGCATTCCAACATACTTCTTTTCAAGGTATTTTGTGACTTTTCCGTTTATACTATTTTTATGTCACCTAAAAATTATTTTCAAAACTTTACATGCAGTTTTTCGCTTATTAGATGTGAATATAAATTGTATGTCGATACTGAGTATCTTGCTGTATTTGCATTAACAGTGACCAGATTTCTCTACCACAAAAGGTCAGATACCAGGCATTACTATCTCTGTCATAAGTTAGGCCTTTGCAGTGGACGATAACAGAATAATATCACCGGCATATATTAAGCAATTCATTCTTATAGAAGTTTTAAAATAAATTAAACATAAAAAATCGAGGAATCACATTTAAATCTCAAAATAAACACACTCAAAAAATTGAATCCATTTATGACATAAAACAAGTAGATAGTTACGGTTTCTGGGGGAAAAAATCTTTTAATTATTTTGTATTAGGTTTAACCAAGTATCATAACCATAAAATACTGGATGTTTTATTTTTTCATTAATCGAAGAAAAAACCCAGAAAAAACCCACATTACAGCCAATAAACTAAAACAGTTAATACTTCTATCTATTTGACAAAACAAAAACTATATAGAAAAAAAAAGAAATAATAATTCAGAAAACACAATCATCAATCATAGGCCGAAGTAATGGTCCGAATTTGGTATAGGCCGAGTTAACCAGTAGCGTCATAATCGACCCAATAATACAAATACAAAATGAAGTTGTCTCCCTTTCAGGTTCGGGCGACCATTTTTTTGGTAATTTCCACTATAAAAAGTTTTTGGCAAAGTTGTAAGAACAATTTTAAGTCAAATATGAAAGATTATTACATTTGGGATATAAAATAAGAAAGCGAATTTAATCACTTAGGCAGATTAAGGTTTGGTTTAAGAAAAACTTTTAGGTTCGGGTTACCACTTTTACCGAGGTGGAAATTAATAAACCTTAAATTTATCATTGTTAGTGATGTTTGGAAAAAAACCTTTTCATACATGAGATAAATTTAATTATACATCAAATATATAAACGTTTGTAGAAAAAAACGAAACATAAAGGGCATAATATATGTAAAATAAATTTCCGGTTCGGCAAATTTCCGGCAAATTCCGGTTCGGGTTCGGGTTCGGGTTACCACTTTTACCGAGTACCGAGTGATAAGGCCTATTGTAGCCAGCTGTACCTTACTTATATCACACAACTGTCACAAGTTCCAGCAGAACTTTGTATCACAACTTAAAAAATTTGATTTCGTATTTTAAAAGTTATTGTCGCTTCACGTCAAAAGGTTTTTCGGAGACAAAATTCAGCTAAATTCCGAAAAGTGTTTTAAATTATACGAATGTGAAAGTTCTTTTTTGGAAATGGAAAATAAAGGATAAGGCGATGTTGAACCTTTGAAGGAGGTCTTCTGTCATATGTTAAACTTCCTTTCGATGTGTTCTTCAGCGCCTTTGAAATATCCATCTCAGTGGATATTCAAAATTGAATTAAATTTGCAAGTTATCAAACATGATTAGTATTTTTTTCTCCATTTTCTATTGCGCCATGATTTTGGAAAAGTCAAGAGAGTTCCGATATATGCACTTCCGAACGTTTAAATTACCTAAAATATGTCATCATTGTCCCGGATATGGATTAAGTTATACCCCATAATAATAATAAATTTCGTCTCAAGAATTTCATCTTTGTTCCTTAAATGAGTTTTGTAGATTTGTCGACTTGAGTTTGTAGCGTTAATGTAAATATGTAGTTTTGAGAATAGAAAATAGTACCAGAAATGTCGTTTTTAATTATTAATATGAGGAAGGCGCTACCTTGAATGCCAGCTTACCAAAACTATGTCCTACATATTGATTGATTGTTGGTTTGCTTAACGCCCAGTGGCAAATATTTCATGCATGTTCAGGACGAATGTCCTATATATAGTTTTTGTCTAAAATATAATAATAAGTTTAGATGGAAAATGTTTAGGGAAAGATCATTGAACTTCAAAAGGCAGAAGGGGGTATGGTATTTTTTTTTTGCTTTGGTGCATCGCAGGAAGGCGTCAAAGCAAAAATTTAAAATAGCCTTCCTGGATGTCATAATTATTTGGACTAGTATTTTTCTTTAAAAACTGATGACAAAAAATACTCTGTTCAAGCAGAGGACAAAAAAAATATTCTGAATCCAGATTTTCCCCATACCTTATAGTGTTATATTTTGACTAAATAATTTTGATTAATAGCATTGAAGTGCTTCACGTGTAAAAAATCTGTCTCAAACAAAAACCATACTCCCCCCTTTGGAGCTAAATTGTTGCTCCCTTATTGTTTTCTGTTGAAAATGAATTTATTGGTGATTTATATAAATGACAATGCTTACAATCATTAACTTGTGCATTTTCATATCCATTTTTCTTTCTTTGCAAATTTTACAAAATTTAAAACAATAAGACATTTGTTTAATTTCAAAACTATGAATACTGTTATACAATCCATAACTTCATTAAATTAATTTTTTGTTGATTTTCATGAAAAGGTGGAGGATTTGGAATATATTTTTCATCAATATCTAAAAGTTGTAGATGTTTTTTTTATTTAGTGTTGCAAACAACGCTTTCTGTTTGTTGAATTATTTTTACTTTCTAAATTAGCTGTTTGTTCATATTGTATTCCCAGTTTCCTGCATCTCATATATATGTGATCAGCAAGAGGATCATTCTGGTTGTTAAAAGAAGAGTTTGAATTTACAGTGAGCCTGTTTAGAATAATGTTTTGATCAGGTTTTTCATTTACATCTAAGCATATAATGAACCATAAATAGGATTGTTAAGTTGATAATCTAAAGATTTTGCTATTTTCTAGGATGTTATTTAAAATTTGAGGGGAGAACACTGCTCAGCAGTATAAATATATTCCTGATCATCTTCTTTTTGTGGGTTAATTTCTACATCAATTTCATGTACTAATTCAGAGTCGGTTTTATGTCATTTCTTGCATAATTTGTTTTATTAGCTTACTTTTCAAGTTTTTATACGACGGCAAAATAAAATTGAGAATCGAAATGGGAAATATGTCAAAAATTTGCTTTCGAGTAATGCTATCATGTCGCTGTTGCTGTCCGAAGACACATTTGGTTTCCGGACAATAACTTTAAGTAAATGAATCTCTATGACAATGTATGAAATTGTACCAGAAGGTTCAATACACAAAAGGAAGGTTAGAATTGATTTTGGGGTTTATGGTACCAACAGTTTAGGAGTCAGTGGTCAAAAACAACATTTTTGTTTTTTTTTCCATAATTTTTGGGTTTTTTCTCCAAAAATTTACCATTTTTACATTGATTATTTCTCATTTATGTATAAATGCAACAAATACTGATATGGCAGGTGATACACACCAAACAGTGTGTGTAAATTATTTTATCGGTAATTTGTGCATTTTTCCTTTGATGTATACTCCTTGTCCTTGATAATGTCGACGTCATTATCAGTGAACTGGTCATGATAAAGAAAATATATTGGGTTAGTTCGCAATTGACATGCACAAGTGCACCGCAAAAGGATCTTCTTTCCCTTTAATTCACAAAATTGCACATGTTTTTTTTCGCAGAAATGCACACGTTATTTCATGAATGAAACACTTGTCATTGTTTGAAACTTTCAGTAATCAGCTAATAATAAAACGTTAGTTTAGCCTTTTTGAACGATTCACTGATTGTGTGAAAATTTGAACAGCAAATGTACGATAAACCTGATAAAATTGCAGAATTATTGATAGCTTTCCTTACTATTCACAAGGACATATCACTAACATATCTTCCATGCTATTCCGATTTGCCTGAGTTTTTATTCCTACATAGTCTGGCATGGCTGGTGCTGTTCCAAGTTGTCTTCTTTTTCTGCATGTTTCTTGAGAAGTATTTGTTTGACCTGGTCAGTCACTATAAAGTGTTACAATTCATATTTAGACGCAACACATAAATAGTGACCAAAAAGGTACCGCTTTCACATGCATGACATGAGAGAATCTAGAAAAAAAATTAAATGTACACATTTTCAACATTTTTGTGGGACTATCATATGAAATTAAGGAGATATGTAGTTGGAGACTGCTGCTGAATAGAAATGTTTGGGCTCACCCGATACCTGTTTTCAAATTAGTCCATATTAAAGTTTGAAGGGTCCAAAATTAAAATATGTTTGATTTCAACTGACATAAAATTTTTGGTGTTTTTTTATATGCTAAATCTACATCTGTGGTTGTATCAGGCTGTGCTTGGCGAAGCATTTTATTGCTGTTTTGTTTGTACTTTATTTTATTTTGGTCATGAAAAATTAACTTGTAGTTGTGAAGTTGCTAACATTTTTAAAAGATGATAATTAGATAACTTCGCATGGTGACGACACTGATGTTTTCGTAGATTTACTTTTTCCCAGGAATGCTTCATCTGTTGATACATGTATATTCTCACTGTGAACGATTTGTGTATATTTAAATATATTAACATATGTTGAAAGACGTGTATAATGTCAAATCATAACAATACAAATTGTTTTGTCTCAAAAAAAACTTGTGATTTCTGCAGTTATTTTTGTTGAATACATACATAAACATAGGGTGAAAATTGGGTACTTGGTGCAATTTAGGTACTGTGACGTTATAGCCATAATTATTTATTGCTTTAATAGGTTGAAATGTGCACCTGATTAAAGTATTAGGTAAAGTGAAAATGTTTTGATCAGGTTTAAACTGACGCATAAAATATACAGGTGACTGCGGGAGGCAAATATTTATATTGCCTCCAAATAATGTGTCTGCAGCTTGAATTTCAAAGGATGTATGAAGCCCACATACTTCCAAGTAACAGGCTCTATACCTATCAAAAGTCATGGTATAATCATGGGTTATCATAACTCCATCGTAATTCCCATAAAATCCAATTTTGGACAATATGGGAGCATACAAATTATACCTAAATGTATCACTCAGACTCAAGTCTCCTTTTACTATGATTAAACTTAGAGAGTGAAAAAAAACAGTCTCCATCTCCTGGGACTGTTTAAGGTAGATATGTGTCATAATTAATGACAAGATTTGTTGAGAGTTTGTCAAAGGAAGTACAGTGACAGTATACAAAATTAGAAGATTGTGAATTTGAATATATATTTTTTTTTTAAACTTTTGTTAAGTTTTGAATTTCACCTGCATTTGTCTGTTAGCTAGGAATAACAGTGACCACATACCACATATAACCAACTTCATTATCACTGTAACTTGATATGGATTATGGGAAATTCTGTAGCAGATTTTACTACCTTCACCTCCGGCTACGTTTCTCCTTAAATTTATTGCTTGCAGAGGGTTTTTCTGTGTTCCCATGGCTGGACGGAACTTTTAAACTACAAATGTTATCATTAATTATGATATTGTGACTTTTAAATGAAGTACCTGTGGTAATTTAGGAGATTTGTCACTGATAGTGGAAAAATGAAGCAGACGATGAAATATATATGTTACATGGCGTAAGATGTTGTTGTCCAAACTTCGGTTATTTCCGTGGTACAATAAAATTTAAATAAACTGCACAAGTTACTAAAATTTCTAAATTCTTGTTTTTGTAAACAAATAAAAATTCATGACGTATTTATCATCGAATTTATTCCGTTTTGTCCCGTTTTTTCAAGATCGCGATTAAACGAGAATCTGGTAGCCATTAAAAATATAAGGGTTAAACTAATGTCCTGAAATTGTCCTTACGGATATTCCAATGATAATTTCGTTTTCAATATTTGAAGAATTGACCTTATATTTGGAGTCAAGCAAGAATACAATGTTTATTTAATAAATATAATGAAAAAAAAGAAAACAAATATTTTTAAGAGTTAGATAACTTGACTTGATCTACTTCGAAAATTAAAAAAAAAAAATCGTACGAGATTTAACGAGAGTGACGAAACTTTTTAGATTGCTCATATAGAGAGAGTTATCGTTCTTTATTCCAATTCGATGCTTCTACCATAAGTGCCAGCTAAAGCTGGCATAATATGAGGAAGGCGCTACCTTGAATGCCAGCTTACCAAGACTATGTCCTACATATTGATTGATTATTGGTTTGCTTAACGTCCAGTGGCAAATATTTCATGCATGTTCAGGACGAATGTCCTACATATAGTTTTTGTCTAAAATAAAATAATAAGTTCAGATGGAAAATGTTAAGGGAACGATCATTGAACTTCAAAAGGCAGGTTGGAGTATGTTTTTTTTTCTTCAAAAATATTCTGATTCCCAAATTGACAATGATTGATGAAAAAAAAATATTCTAATCAAGCAGAGGACAAAAAAATATTCTGAATCCAGATTATCCCCATACCTTCTAGTGTTAATTTTTGACCAAATAATTTTGATTGATAGCGTTGAAGCCCTTTGCGTGAAAAAAAATCTAACTGAAACAAAAAAACCATACCCCCTGCCCTTTTGAAGCTAAATGGTTGCACCCTTATTGTCCATATTGCTTTCTGTTGAAAATAAATTTATTGGTGATTTATCTAAATGACAATGCTTAAATTCATTATCTTGTGCCATTTT